AAAAAAACAAAGCTCACTCCCTAGGTGATTCATATGCACGTTCATGTTTGAGAGCTGTTCTCTAGATCCCACCTCCTTGACTCCAAGCCCTCAGTGTCCTTCCCCACCCTCATCTGGAAAATCTCTCCTTTTTTTTTTCTTGGAATCCCTAGACGTGGCATCATTGTTTTGCTCATCCCATGTCCCCCATCCTCCTCCTCACCCCTGGCCCATCTGCAGCGGACCTGAGTCAGAGCTGCTCCACCAAAGAGGACTGCCAGTGACCAAGGTCTCCATCAGCAGCTGTTCTCTCCATTTCTCAGTCTACTGTCGTGGGGCAGCAGACGAAATAAGCCAGACGCCAGACTGTTCCCCAAACTGTCTTTCTCTCTTCTCCTCCCCAGGCCCCTCTGCATCAAAAATCTACTCTCTCTGAAAAAAAAAAATTGGGGGGGAGGAGAGGGTACAGCTCAGTGGTAGATCATGTGCTTAGCATGCACAAGGTCCTGGGTTCAATCCCCAGTACCTCCATTAAACAAATATATAAATAGACCTAATTACCTTCCCCTCCAAACAAGCAAACAAACATACAAACAAACAAAATCTCTCTCCTCCTTCGAATAATAAAGGAAAAGACACCAGGTGCCCATACACTTGAGAAGAAATGGAGTAGGGAAAGAAAGGAAGGAGTCTCCCCTCCTCCCCAGAGATAATGTGAACTCTAGCTTCTGCCAAAATTTTCTATCACACACATCCACACACAGACATGCAGTAAAATATTAACAGTGTTTTTTTAGTGAATGACAGGATTTCTCTCTTCTTTTTACTTATCTACATTTCTAGTTTTTCAAAAATGAGTGAATGCATATTACTTATATACTCATAAAAATAAATGAGTGTTTTGTTAGAGGAAATAGGAAATTCCCCCATGGTGATGGAATATGTGATTTCCACATGCATTTTTAAATAGAGAATTTCTGTCTTGCAAAAATTAGCCTCTGAGGGTCACAAAGCCTTCCTCATATGGTTCACAGTACACAGAAAAGTCTTTTATTAGGGATGTCGAGTTACCAGAGACAGGAAATGAAGTTAGTTCCCAGATCTTGGCAGGAGGTGGTGGTGAGGCCCTCTAGAAATCTCAGGCCTCCCTCCAAACAAGGACATGCCAAACTCAATCTTCTATAAAGAGGGACTTCTTAAGAAAACTACCTCATTACTATACCAATTGGCAATAATCCCTGCCTCCTCCTTTTTTATCACGTAGATCTAGGCATTGGATGCTTTGTTTTGACTCTCTACCAAGGAGCTGAATTGGTTAATTATCCTGGTAGTGATATGGCTTAAAAGAGCTTAAAATAATTTTGCTATTTTTAAAATTATTAACTAGGATGAAAGTTGCTCATTTTGTTTCTAATTTTATTCCCTTCTATGTGAGTTATCTGAACTTTTTTCACTGAGTAAGCTTAAATGGGTCATTCTAAAATATGGCATAAAAATTAATATGTTTATTGGGGAATATTTAAAATACAGATGAACAAAAACTATTTCTATGTTTATGTATATATACGTGTGTGTATGTGTGTGTGTATAGACATTCTTGGATATTTTTTTAAAAATAGAAATGATGCATTAGGGGAAATTTTAAAATTTCAAGTGCCTGAACTTTACCACTCAAACTAGCTTAGCCAAGAAAAGAATATTTATTGACTCATAAAACAAACCAAAGAAAAGTCAGGGTTATTTCTGGCCTTAGTGACCAAAGATTCAAATATTCTCAGGACTGCCTCCTGGCCTCTAGCTCCCGCCCCCGTCTCTGCCTGCACTTCATTCTCTCAGACTACAGCTCGGCTGCTGGGAAACTTGGCTGCCAGAAGCCTGCAGCTGCACATCTTCCCATGTTCACCTCCAGACAGGAAAAGGTCTTGTTCCTTTAGTTCCAGCTCAAAAAGTCCCAGGGAAAGTCCCTGACAGGCGGAGCTTCAGTTACCTGCATGCTCCTTGGTAAATCGTCACGGGCAAGGTGGCCTGGTTCTGTGACTGCCTCAGTGCTGGTCATTGCCACCTCTAATCTGAACCCTGTGATGGAGGGAGGGTCACGTAATGAGACGGCAGGTCCCATCTGAACCCCTGGTGCTGTTTTATAATGTCAGCTCAGCGGCTGTTTCCCATAGAAGGATATTTGCCGGCAGACAAATGACAAATATTCACTACATACATACATACATACATACATACATACATACATACAGAGGATACCTGGATCCTTGAGGTCATCCCAGAGTTCCTGTACGAGTCCTATATTGCACACTCGTGATGCATGAGAAAAATAGCCTCTGATCTGGCTAAACCACAGTTAGTTGGGTTCCTCTCACATACAGCCAAGTGAGGTTCCTTATAGATGTTCTTCCAGGCAGCCATTAAAAGTAGACCAGGAAATGCATCATCAAGGAGGTGGATGGGGAGTCATGGTAAGAACCCCAGAGAGGTTGAAAGAAAAGCTGTAATAAAGGAAATTACAGCCTATTTATTTTTTGAACTGTTATAGGAGACTGACCCATAGAGCATCCCTGTGTCAACCTGAGGGAGTCACAGCAGGGTGGGAAGGGCAGCCACAGATGAACTGAGCAGAAGGAAGGTCAGAGGGAGTACCCAAGACTTTCTTGATGCTATGTAGCATGAAGGGTTCCAGAAATCTCTAAGAAAATGTCCTAAAACTAGAGATTGTTCCTTGCTGTTCCTGCTAAGTAAAACTAGACATTTGTTTTAGTGGACAGAATTCCCCAAACTGCTGTTGTGGCTATTTTGCAGATGACTACAATTACATAGCAAATACTAATGAAGATGTCCCTGGTTATATAAAGAAAAGACAAAATATTACTTTGTATTTTTGTGTCTTTTATGGTTTATCTTCCCTATTGGGCTGTGAGCTTCATGAAAACAAGGATCATGTGTGATTCCTGTGGGTAACCACAGTCCCATAACAGTCTTGGGTACAGAACATTTCCAGTGAATATTTGCTAGAAGATGCACCATACATATTTGTTTAAGGAATGGTTGAAGGAGTCTTCTACATTAGCTCATTGGCTTGTAATTCTGAGGTTTTTACAGTCCATCACAAAATGTACTTCCCTTTTTGTTTTTAAATTGCAGTAAATCAACACAGTACACATGCTTTTTTTTTTTTGTAAGAAAAGGCTTCTATTATTTTTTTAGGTAGGGCATTCCCACAATCAGACCCCCTCACTCCCAAAGTGAACCCTGGCTCTCACATAAGATCCAGGAGTTTCCACCGTTTGGACTCCAGTACCACTTTTCCTAGAATACTTGATGCCCTTGCAGGCCTCCTCTGGCTATTATTAACAGATTTGTTAATCAGTGGAAAGGGGATATGCCTTTGTGCTGCTAAAAGAAGGAAGCAGAACGTCTGTTTTCCACTAAAGTCTCCTGACTGGGGTTTGTTATGCCCAGTCTGAGTTGGCCTGGAACTTGGCCGGCTGCAGACACCATTCAGGCTCTGGCCGCCGTCGGGTAGGGCCAGGGACCGGTCGAAGGAGGCTGGACAGTAGGGTCAGCGCGATGAGATGCTGCGCGCTCTGGAACCGCTAGGTGCCAAAGCGCGGGAGATGCCGTGGTTTGTACAAGGCTGCTCCGCGCTAATCAGGTGAGGCCCGGAGGTTCGCATCTGCATATCCCTCTCTGGGTGTACTGTCTCTGGATCTCCTTCTTAGCTCCGAAGAGGCGGTTCCAGCGGTCAGGTAGCTTGGCAACTGGGTTTAGCATTTGTCATCGCTGGGAACTGGGGGCGGGGGGGGGGCGGGGGCGGGTTCCCAATCCTTTGAGGTCTTGCGCGGGACTACATTTCCCAAAAGGCTCCGCGGTGATTGAAAGCTCTATCAGCCTATGGACGGGGAAGATGTCTCGTCATAGACACTGAAAAGCCAATGGAAAGAGGATGGGGGCGGTGTTTTCCGGCGGCTGGCTGTCGAGCCGAGTCCCACCTGTGTCCCCACAGCCCTGTCACGAATCCCGGCCGGGTTCTGGGAGGGACCGCCAAGGCGTTGCGGGCCCGGTGCGGCCCGGCGGTGGAGGACACACTTTGTGCTCCATCTCCGGCTGGGCCCGGGAAGGTGAGTGATCCGGGGAGGGAGACTGCGGCTGCAGCCGGGTCGCTGCTGAGGGGCGTGGATGGGGCTCGTCCGCCGCCCCGAAGTCGTCTCTGCCCGGTCCCCGCGCTCGCCTTTCGGAACCCGCGAGTCTTGCTGAGGAGTGAGGAGAGGTAGCTGCAGTTTTCTCTGCCAGCGTCGGGATAGCTCATCCTCTTAATCAATGTTTTGTGGGGTTTTTTTGTTTTGTTTTTGGGTTGTTTTTTTTTTTTTTTGCTCCTAGATGGTGGTCCCCGGGTTTGCTCAGCCTTGCGACCCTCTGACCGCTGCACCCAGATTAGGGCCTGTCGGCCCTACCCGTGCGGTCATGTTCCTATTAATAAACCCAGTGAACAAACTGGTGCTTCCCACAATGGCACTTAGTCACAGCACCTCAGCTCTCTAGGGCCTTTGAGGTCACCTGTACGGGGACAAGAGAAGGTGGGAAACTGGGCTTCTCTAACCCTGGCTAAGAACTATCCCCTCAACCCCTACCCTGCCCCGCATCCCGCATTCCGCTATCTCCTGAAGGTGGGCCCTGCTCTTGTGTTTTGTAATGAATGTAGAAATAAAATGTATGCTCAAAACTCGTTACAGGTTTCACTTCCTAACATTATCTCTGTTCGTTAAGATTTTAAGCCAGAGATGAAATGTATTCCTACGCTTTTTAAGTTCTTGAAAACTCAGTACTTTGTAAGTGACCCATAGCAATGTCTGTAAATACATAAATATTTCCATGAAAAGTGTGTGTATTCTAGTAATACCCAGGTGCTTTGATGGGTGAGACAAAAGATGTGAAAGAGTAAAATTTCCTCACCGCAGTCTGGTCCATCCTCCACTGAAATGAAGAATTCTTTGTTGCAGGTTCAGCTGGCTGACTTGGGTTGGTTTCTATTGGAAACTCTTTAAGTGGGAAAACAAACAAACATTATCTTATATTTCTTTGTGACTCCTAGTGCCTTACAACATATTGACTGCTGAATAAATTACTGATTCATTCAGTAACCTGACCCTCTCCCCCCAAATAATTTTTTCATGAGACTTATGTCAATTTTATTAATGTGTTACTGATTGTTTTCAACACCCAGGAAATTTTTTTGTGCTTATCCGCATTGAATTTCACTTAATTTTACAGCTTATCCATGTTGTTTTTAAAAAAACTTCTCTTTTTAAGTTCCATTTCTGACTGCATTAAACCTTGAAATAGAATGATACTGGGGCAGGTCCCTTAGGGCTTCTGCATAGTCTGTCCCTTGAGGTTGACACCAAATCTACAAGCCAGGAAAAGTCAGCTGTTCTCATAACTAATATGAGTATAACTAAGGAAGTAGTTTCCTATAGCTAAGAAAGATGTAGGTGGAGAGAATCCAAAGCTTTCCAAAAATCGAGTTATACCTGCACACTCTCTGCTCTGTTTATCTTGTCCATCATAGACAATTTGTTCCTCAAAAAGTTAATGTCTCCAAAAGACTGAGGGGTCTGTAGATGTATCTGGGAGGTCCAGGCCTTGCTTTGTGTTGAGAAAGTTAGCCCAGGGAAAAATTATGTAAAAATAGAATAAGAAAAGCAACCCTTCTGTGGTTGACAGCATTTACTTCAGAGCTCTTCAGGTCAGGTGGGTTTTGTTTGGGTATCCTAGTGGTCATAGTGGCTGTCTTTTGGTTTTGAGGTAATGGTGAGAATATCAAGAGAAGCTACTGATGTATACTGTGATCTCTTGCTTTAGGAACTAATGACCCTCAATGATGTGGCTGGGGACTTCAGGGAAGAGTGGGTTACCTGGACACTGCTTTGAGAGACCTCTTCAAGAATACCACCCAGCACGGTTAGAAGACTGGGCTCTCAAAGGGTAAGGATGCTATTCTCCTTTAGATTTAAGGCAGATATTTTGAGAAGGCCCAGGTCTAAATGCTCTCTAGGGATGGTGGTCTGTTAGAGCTCCAGATGTCTGTGGGAGTAGTTGCCTCCCTGGCAGAAGAAGAATGACTTCCATTTTTATGGCAATTTGTGGTTTGCAGATTTCTTTGCTAATCTCACCATAACCCTTTGATGTGTGTATTTTTCATCCCTCTTTTCCAGCTCAGGACCCTGAGACTCAAAGTTAAGTGTTAGAGGTGAGAGTCCTACCAGGTCTTTGTGGAAAAGGGAGAGCTCTCCCCATAGTTTTGTTTTGTTTTTTTTCTGTCACTTAAAAAAAAAAAACCTCCAGTGCCCTTTCTAAAATACAATGGCTACCCCTTCTTCTTGCTTTAACTTCATATCCGTTATACAATGAATATATACTCATTGAAGAAAAAGAAAAGCAAAATGAAAATAAAAGTCATCTATCCCACTACTGAAGTTATGATCTTTCCAGCCATTTTCTTAAGTATATATACAATTTAAAAAAAGAAAAAAATTGGGATCACACTGTATATTCAGTTTTATGTCTTACTTTCTTACATGTTGTATTGTGAATATTTTGACAACAATAAATATCTTTCTGTACATTACTTAAAATAACCACTTAGTATTTTGTTGTATGAAATACAGTAATTTACATTAAACCACTTATGTGACCATATTTTGACCACTTTTTACCTATAAAGTGGCAATTTCATATGGCTCAATTAAATGTAATTATTTCCTTGTTGAGGGACATTTAGGTCATTTCAAATTTTCATCAGTATTGTGATGAATATCTCTTAGCTAATTGCCTTTTTAGGATGAGGGAGGGAATTAGGTTTTTATTTATTTTATCTTTAGTGGAGGTACAGGGAATTGAACCCAGGACTTTGTGCATGCTAGGCACACACTCTACCAGTGAGCTATACCCTTTCCCCGCTAACTGCCTTTTTGAAAGTCTTATTTATTGAAGAGTAATTAGTTAATAATTAGTATATCTTCTGCATAGCTTTTTTTTTTTTTACTTTTTTTAATTTCCTTAGAATTCCCAGAATTAGAATTGCTGGGCCAGACAATACAGACAATAGTTACATTGCTAAGGTATTTGGTATTTTTGCCAAATGCCTTCTGAGAAGATTGAATCAATGCATTTATTCCTGTGAGCATTATATGAAAGTGTCCATTTCTTCATATTCTAACACAGCAGGTATTATAATGTAAGAGTCCAGGTAAAGTAATAATGATGGCTAACATTTATTGAGGACTTATCTCTTCCTCCTCATGACAACTCTGTAAGGTAGGTCCTATCATTGTCCCTATTTTATAGATGAATACACTGAGACACGGTTTAAGTAACTTTTCTGAGGTCACATGGCTAGTATGGCAGGGTTGGGATTCAAACCCAGGCAATATGACTCTTGAGTTTGCACTCTACCTCTCCGCTAAATTGCCTTGATCGCCTAAGTGTATCATGGTTTAAATTTGAATTTCTTTTCTTAATGGTGAGGTTAAAAGTTTTTCATATATTTATACGCTGCTTGTGTATTTTTCTTTTGTGAGCGTGTATTTTTCTTTTTGTGAAACAAAAGTTTCATGTCCTTTTAAAAAAATTTTTTTTTCTTATAAGTGTTTGTCTTTTTCTCATGGCTGTATCGACTGCTGCCCTTCTGGGAAATTTTAAAAGCCAAACATTACAGTTACAGTTAACTTCCTTGATTCTTTCTAAGGGTGAGGTCATGGTAGCTTGCTTTCTGATAAAATTATCTCTCCACACGGGTTTAGCCTTTTGCCTTCAGAGATGAGTTATTGTGCTTATTCTAGAGTTTCAATCACCTGTCTGATTTTTTTTTCAATGGGAGGGAAAGGGCTTTTTCTCAGCCTTGTGGGGAGATCACCCTGTTTTAATCACTTCATCATGGCTGCCCATTTAATGAGACCAAACACACATTAGATTTTCCCTGGGTGTTCTCCTCTGTCTAGGGAAAGAGGAGGGCTTGCATTTTGCTCTGGGCTTGTGTGGTTGGCTCAAATTAACATACTGTGTTCACTTTCCTTATAGGATTTCTAGACCAAGTGTAATCTCCCAGCTGGAGCAGAAAGAAGAGCCATGGGTCCTGCCACTCCAAAATTTTGAAGCGAGGAAAATTCTAAGGGAAAGTCACACAGGTGAGATGTGTTACCCAGTGGGCAGAAATCCAGTATTTCAGCCCTTGTTTAGATGAGGAATTTGGAATCCTGCCCTAGACTTTCATTATTACTGTTACAAGTTTAAATTTGACTTCTTGGGCACTCAGTAGTTGACCAAAGAAGTCCTCATTTCAAGTAAACATTCCACTTTTGTCTAAACTCTGACATCTTTGAGAGGTGTTGCCTAATTTTGACACTATGTAGTACACTCTTGAAGGACATCAAGGTCACCTCAAGATTCACCTGACCATCTAAAAATAAAAAGGGTTTGGAATTCATGTTTTCTGTTACCTCAATGATATTCAGTAAACTTTTCACAAAATCAAATTAAATGTGGTCTGTTGCAAAAACACTAAATTTAATCTTTCTTGCTGCTTTCTGATCATCTTTCCTGATAACTGATAACTTTATTCTCTGTGACTTCTGTTTATTTTTCAGACTTTAAGAACCAGGTGGTAAAACTTGATCAGGACATTCCTGAAACAACAGAACCATGTGGAACATCCTCAGAAAGGGCCAATAAAGATATTTCTCATACTCCTAGTTGGGGAGGCAACTGGGAGGGGGGTCTTGAATTAGAAGAGGAGCATGGAACCCTCCCAGGAGAGGGCCGGCAGGAGCCCTTTTCACAGGAGAAGGAATTAAACAAGCTCCTGGAAGGATATATAGGAAAGAAGCCTGTGTGTACAGAATGTGGAAAAAGCTTTAACCAGAGTTCCTATCTCATAAGACACCTAAGAACTCATACTGGTGAGAGGCCTTACAAATGCATCGAGTGTGGGAAAGGCTTCAAGCAGAGTTCAGACCTTGTCACCCACCGAAGAACGCACACAGGAGAGAAACCCTACCAATGTAATGGGTGTGAGAAAAAATTCAGCGACAGCTCAACACTCATCAAACATCAGAGAACCCACACGGGTGAGAGACCCTACGAGTGCCCGGACTGCGGGAAGACTTTTGGACGGAAGCCACACCTCATAATGCACCAAAGAACCCACACAGGAGAGAAGCCCTACACTTGCCTCGAATGTCATAAAAGCTTTAGTCGTAGCTCCAATTTCATCACCCACCAGAGGACCCACACAGGAGTGAAGCCTTACAGGTGTCATGACTGTGGGGAGAGTTTCAGCCAGAGCTCGGATTTGATTAAGCACCAGCGAACCCACACAGGAGAACGGCCCTTTAAATGCCCGGAGTGCGGGAAGGGCTTTAGAGATAGTTCTCACTTTGTAGCTCACATGGGCACTCACTCAGGGGAAAGGCCGTTCACTTGTCCTTACTGCCACAAAAGCTTCAGTCAGAGCTCACATCTGGTCACGCACCAGAGGACACACACAGGCGAGAGGCCTTTTAAGTGCGACAGCTGTGGGAAAGGATTTGCTGACAGCTCAGCCCTCGTTAAGCACCAGCGGATCCACACGGGAGAAAGGCCCTATAAATGTGGCGAGTGTGGGAAGAGTTTCAATCAGAGCTCCCACTTCATCACCCACCAACGAATCCACCTAGGAGACAGACCCTATCGCTGCCCTGAGTGTGGCAGAACCTTCAATCAGCGTTCCCACTTTCTCACACACCAGAGAACACATACAGGAGAAAAACCTTTCCACTGTAGTAAATGTGACAAGAGCTTCCGTCAGAAAGCACATCTTTTATGCCATCAAAACACCCATTTGATCTGAGAAGTGATCTTTAGTGGGTCTGCTGCTCCCTTCTAAATTTCTACAGCTATTACCTTTAAGTTCTCCAAATAGAGAAAACCTGAACCTGGGCATCAGCGGCTCAAGTTGGGCCCCGATCTGTTCCCTTTTTTTCCATGCTTTTACTGGCGAGGATAAGCCTAGAGGGTCCAAATAATGTTCTGAATACAAAGGGTATTCCTTTTTTAGTGGTTTTGACTGATTCTGAGACACAAAAACATGTTTAATGATTGATGCCTGGTTACTAAAAGTGAAATGAGATAAATGTAGTCACATGATCATTATTAATGGTTAACATTTGAGATCTTATACAGAGCCCTTAATGTAATACTGGGCCCTTAAAAGACACTCAGTCCAAGGTTGGTTGCTTTTATCAGTTTTATTACTCAAGAAATTTATTAGTGCAACCCCACAAGCCCAGAACTTGCAAGAAATCTAAGATTGGAAGTAGAAGATTTGGGATGTGAACATATAAATATAATGAAACAGAAAACACTCTCTTAATCCAGTGCTATGCAGGCAGTAGTCACCAGATGTCTCATTGCCATGACGAGGCAGAATTACCGTAGAGGATGTCTGCGGTCTTGTGACTCAGAGGCTGAAAGAATTTCCGAAGCTCCTTGTACAGCAGTGTGTGAGGTACTGTCACTGAAGGTTTGCTGCCATCTGAGGCATAGAAAGTATCCTGTGATGGACAAGCCTCAGGGCCCCAGAAGAGGACGGTAAAATTGTGGAAGCAAAATTGCTGAGAACATTAAACGGTACTGCAGGGATTCTTTCTGGTCTTTAGCTGAAGGAAATAACTCTTGGTTTCTAATTAGCTGGGTCATTGGCCCTTAAGTTTTAAGTTAGTGCAACTCTGATCCTTTTAGGGTCACTCATTTTATGCACTATATTTAATTGAAATATAGTCCTATATTTAATTGAAAAAATTTAGGGAAGGCAGTGTGTTGGGAGGGACACTGACTTCATGAGAAGACGTGTTTGAGTCCTGGCCCTGACACTTAATTGGCCAGACTTTCACCTTCTCTCAGGTCCTACCTTACCTACCTCACAAGGTTGTTGTGAGGATCTAATACACACCTGCACACGCACACACGCACGCACACACTCAAGCACTTTGTTGTTAAACTATAAAGTATAACATCTCTAAAGTTTAATGTTACAGTTTTGTTGCTAGTGTCTTTTTTCTGAGGAACTCTGGCTAGTATTTCTCCAGGTGTCCCGTTTTCTCTCATATTGAGGGACTTGTTTTTTTACCTGTTGAAAACCTAGGGCCTTAAAATGCTAATTGACTCATTATGAGTCACACAGTTAACAGAAGAGCCAGAATCTGTCTGCTGGTCTCCTCTTCAGCAGCATAGAACAGACCAGCTCTGGGATATGTTAGAGTGTCTGAGACACCGCAGGACTGGAGGACCCATATTACATCCACTAGACCACTCTGAATTTGGAAATGATGGAGGGATGTACCCAGAGTTCCCAACAGCTTTCCAGGATCCTGTGCTGGGGTCCTTGATCCTCACGGAGTAAGGTGGGGTGCTAACAGCAGATGTAAGTGGTTGAGGAGGGAGCTGGGCATTTAACACTCTCCAGAGAAAAGTGGTAAACTGAGGGTTTTTTATTTCAGCCTTCCTATGTCAATACAGACTAAATTAATACATCAGCCTTGGAACACGAGTTCTCTTCCATTATGTAGGATGCTGAGTGCTGTAGCTCATGGGGAATAGAACTCAGCTGATACCTAAACCCTTTCTTTAGATAATTGATCAGAAAAAAAAATCTGGTTACAGCAGCACAGTAAATTCTTAAAATGTGAGCCCAGACCAGTAGCATTGTCATCACCTGGGAACTTGTTAGAAAGAGTCCCCACCCCAGAGTTACTGAACTGGAAACTCTAGAGGTGGGGCTTAGCAACATGTAGATTAATAAGCCTTCCAGGTGGTTCTAATGCATGCTCAAGTCTGAGAATCACTGCTTTCAAAGGTATCTCTTCTACTAAACATGGCCATGATACGATTATTACTCCTAAAAGGTATTTGGTGAAAAATATCAAATACTCCAGTTAACATTCACGTTTCCCTAGTTATACTTTTGGGGGCGGGGGAATTAGGTTTATTTATTTATTTCTAGAGGAGTTACTGGGAATTGAATCCAGGGCCTTGTGCATACTAAGCATGCACTCTCCTCTCCCCCTGCCTTTCCCCCCACCTTTGGTTTTTCAGTTTGTCTGAACCAAAATCCAAATAAGGTCTCTACATTTGATTGGTTGATATGTTCCTTACAAGTCTTGATCAAAAGTCCTCCCTCTTCTCTCTCCTTTTCTTACCTCATTTGTTGGGGAGAAAAAACCTTACTCTTTAAGTGTCTCCCACAGGTCTGTATTTTCCTAATTTCATCCTATAGGGTCCTTTAACATACTCCTCTATCCTCTAATTTTCTAATATTGGTAGTTGGATCTGTAAATAAGATCAGATTCAGATTAGGGGGGGAGCACGAATACTCCATAGTGTTCTTATGTACTTGTATCAAGAGGTACCTGGTGGTTTTGTTGTTGTTTTGTCTCTTTACTTACGATGTTAGCAGCCTTTGATAAGCCCTTACCTCACTTGGGTGTGACAGGTGGTGATACAGCTGTCATTTCTTCTTTTATTAGCTGGAAAGCTTCTATAAAGAGAACTCCCCTAATCAACAATTTGGTTTCCCTGAGGCACAATTTGTATAGTACAGATCTGCATAATAGTACAGTAGCTACTTGATTAGAACTCTTTTGATTTTTTTAATATCACTATATAAATTTTGGCCTCCATGCCTTAGATTTCTAAGCCTCTTCCAATGAGGTACTCTGCTCTGACAGGACATGTATAAATGCATGAACCTCAGAATAACTTTATTATATCCTATCATTCTTCTCCTGCCTACTCCCCTCCAGTTTGACTGGGTTCCCCAGAAAGCAGTGTGCTAAAGAGCTCAGTAAATACTTGAGTGAGTCCTTCACCAGGAGTGAACTTGCTCAGTTGTCAGTTAATATTTCCCGATGTGATCCAGGCCTGAAAACAGGAGAGGAAACTACATTCCTATTGGCTAGGAATGGTTTTACATCACTTTTACGGTCATATGAGAGTATACCTTCCTTTATCTTATCTACCCAAGCATTGTTCTAAATCAAATATGATCAGTATGTTAAATGACAGCAATAATTTATCAAAATCAGATGAGACAGTAAGGGAAAAGCCTGGCAGGCAGAGGTAAGAGGTAATTCACGTGCGATCCAGGGGCACCATCTCCCAGGGGTGGAAGTGTTCCGACTGGCCAGGGGCAACGATGTGGAATGAGAAAGTTCAGCGTTGAGTATGATCTTCCTCAGAAGTGACATTCTGAGAATTTTGTACTGGATTAATGTGAAATGTCTTAGAAGAGTGTTCCACAAGAAGGAGCCAGTTAGAGGACATGGAGGGACACAAAAGCTGCATTATTAGCACAAGCAGGCATAACCCTAAACTGAACTAGGAATGCGACGTGGACTCCATGTTTGTGAGCGACCCTAGATCTCGGAGGCAGGGTGTGGAAGCATCACAGAACCAGGAATCAGAAGAGCCAACCTCTAGTTTTGGTGTGGTTATTTACCAGCCGACTGTCTTTGCCAGGTCAGTTGATCACTCTAGGCTTCAGTCTATCTGTGAAGTCAGAAACAAAATCTTTGTCTCTAACGCTTTACGAATTTGGGGCTCTCACGGACCCCAGTACTGTCCATGTCGTGAGTAGGCTGTTCCACATGTGCACCTTCCTGCTCTGTGAGGATGAAGCAGGTGGCCCACAGCCTGGCTCCCTCTCCCTCCCACTCTGCAGCCCTCTCCAGCTTCTTGTAGGAGAGGGGAAACCTCACAGCTGCCTGCGGAGTTAGCACGGTGTCTCCAAACTTAAGACCTCCCCAGGCTCTGGCCCCTCCTCTCCCGACTTCCCAACAGCATTTAACAGACACGGGTTGCTGGCTTATAACATAAACTGAGTCTTTTTCTATCACCTTGTTTCTCATGTTGTACCGGTGTGCCTACCTCATAAGCTGTGAACTCTTAAGGGACAATGTGTGACTTGCTTTGTGGCTCTGCCACCTGCTCCCCACCAAGCTCCCCAGCCATGAGCAGGGAGCACTTAAATGGTATTGGTGAGAGTCAAGGTAACTGACTTTCCATGTTCCCTTGTTTCTACCCTGTGACTGGGCCATTAGCTTCTTGCACATGCTCTATACTGCTTCTCTCTCTCATTTCAAAATCCACGTCATCACCAAGCCCTATCACCTTTACCTCTCAGATTACTCTCAACCCCATCTGTCAACCACTCCATCTCCACCGCTGCTCTCTCATCCCAGATGACCACCATCTCTTGTCTGGATTTCTGCAGTGGACTCCTAACTGATCTAGATTTTATTTTTACTCTAATTTCTTCTCGCTGAAGCAAAAGTGATCTTCTAAAATCCTGAATCTAATCATCTACTTACATACTTAAAACCAGTAGCTTCCCATTGCTTTAAGATAAAGACTGAAATCTTTAACCAGACCTATAAGGCCTGCCTTGGTTTGACCCATCCTCCAGCCTCTTCTGGTATCACCTTGCCACTCACTCACTGTGCTTCAGCCCACTTGCTTTCTCTGTTCCTTGATCACACCAAAGTCATGCACACCTCAGAGCCTTGGTGCTGTGCCCTCTGCCCAGAATGTTCCTCATCCAGATCTATGCTTAGACTGATTTGTCAACCAGGTTTCAGCCTAACACTCACTTCCTAACAGAGACCTTCCCTGCCTTTCCCATCCAAATTAATCCTCCTCCCCAACAGTCACTCTCTATCACATTATCCTCTTTTATCATTTCTAGCTCCTCTTTTCCATCCCCACTGCCATCATCTGAATGAAAGGGATGGTTTTCCATCTGTTCTCTTTGACTTTTTCCTTTAGTTCAGCTCAACAGACATTTACTGAGTGCTTACTATATACACATGGAGTCCTACATTAGACCATGAGGTATAAAGACAAAACAGTGAAAGAGGTCCCCATTTAAGAGCTGTTGAACTTTGGGCAAGTTACTTACTCTCTCTGACCCTTATTTCCTTATCTGTAAAATGAGGTTAAGCTCAGTACCTTCTTCATGAGGTTGGGTGAGGATTAATGAGATGACACATAGAAAACTGTTTGCATAGTAACTGGTACATTGTATCTGCTCTATAAATGTCAATGACAACAATGATAATGATGGTAAGCTTGCCTTGGAGGAGTTTATAATTTAATGGAGAGACTTGAAAGAATAGGAATTATCTAGGTGAAGAAAAAATGGGAAAATATTTTTGGAAAAGAGGAGACGAGCAGTTTAATTGAAATTAAAATTTAGAGGTAGAGATTTGGGGGACTGAAAGAGAAGAGCTGGTTCTCGTCCTCTAAGAATATTTCTCAAAGTGTGAGCCAGGGACCACCTGCATTAGTTCTACCTGGGGTGCTTGTTTAAAATGCAGATTTGGTGCCCACCCCAGGCCAAATTGATAAATCCACACAGTGGAACCATTGAACACATCAGGAAAAATGAACAAACTACAGTTATGTGCATTAACACACATAAGCCTCACAAACTCAATATTGAGCACAAAAAATAAGACACAGAAAATACTTATAGCTAGGGTAAAAATACAGTAAAGATTAAAACATGCAAAACCAAATACTGTATTGCTTAAGCAGTAAGGATACACACAAAACGGCAATGAAAAGCACAGGATTTATCAACATATAATTCAGGATAGAGGTTAACTGGAATGGGGAAGAGGATGCTGAGTTTCTATTTCTTAAGCTGGGTGCTGAGCCCACAGATTTTCTTTTTTTACAATTCTTCAAATTAATATGCATTATTTAGATACTTTTTATTTACAAGATATTTCACAAGGAAAAAAAAAGCAAATAGGAGAACAGAATACTCTTCCAGAGACTGCCCTTTTCCACTTAAATCTCATAGAATTGAATTATACTAAGAAAAAAAGAGAGGAAAAAACAAAACAACAACAACAACAAATCCAAATGCCTGGGTCTGAATAGACACCAGGCCAATCCCCTCTATTCTTTCTTAATCACAAGCTCACACTGTCTCATTTTTCCTCCCATTAAAAAATAAACCCTCCCTTTATCAGTTAGTGCAGATAGGTGTCTGGAAGATTACAGGCCCACCCTCCTAAAACAGCCAAACGAGGACCCCTGTCTGAAGGGAAGATGCCCTGCCACATTAATAATGCTTTTGAGAACATCCTTTTTTTTTTCTCTCAGGGAAAATATTTCCACAGGGTGTGAACATTTTTACAGCTCTTGTTGCTTGCTGCCAAATCATTTTCCAAGAGAACTGTACCAATTTACAATGCTACCAGCAATAAATGACTACCAGTTTCACCACACCCTCATCCTCGAAAAACTGTTTTGCTAATTTAATAAACATGATTCCTACATATTGTTTTAATTTGCATTTCTTTGATTATCAGTGAAGTTGAACACTTCTTCATATGTTAGCTTCTTTATTTCTTCTGTTGTTTGTCATTTTTGTACTTAAGGGATAAGATCAGAATCAAAGAACTTGACTATTTGACTTCGAGGAAGTCAGTTTTTTCCTGCTCCCTTCCCTTCCCCTCTCTGCATCATTACTTTTTTACTTCATGAGTTATACATGTTCATTTTAGAAACATCAGAAAATATAATTAAGTAAACAAGAAAAGCAAAATCACCTATCAACCTACCTTCCAGAGATAACCACTACTGTTCATTGTATATCCTTTTAAGCTTTTATCTCTAACAAAAATATTTACAAACATATCATCTAACCTTTCTGAGCCTGTTTCATCATCTATAAAATGGGAATACACGTCTCTCAAGTTAATTAAATGAGCTGGTGTATGTGAAAGTGATTTATAAAGTACAGGATGTTATATAAATGCAAGTTGGTTTTTATGACATAAAATACCCTTTACTCTGCCAAACAGAATGATGACACTTTGTTCCCTGAATGTAGCCTGCCCTCTCCAGTACATTCTTCTTTCTAGAATGACTTTCTGCCTCAATTTTCCAACTAAATAAATATCCACTATAGTTTTAAAATATTCAATATGTAAGATATACAAAATGTGTAGAGTAATGCAAAGAACAACCACATATCTACACAGCTTAAGAAATAAAATTCTCAAAAAAAAAAAAGATTTTACCAATACACTTAAAGTTTCCTGTGAACCCCTCCTCAATTATAGCCCCTCTCCAACCCATATTCCACTCTCCTGAATTTGGCATTTCTCACTCCTATGCCTTTGTATTTATTTATGTATGCTCTTTCTTTCTTTATATATATTTATATGGCAATATTGATATACATCCCTAAGCAATGTATAGTATTGGTTTGTATAAACTTGTTTAAATTGCAAATGAATGGATATCAATGTAAGTATTCTGTACTCCCCTCATTCCAATATTATGTTTGTGAGATTCATCCATGTTGGTACCTGTACTTAATTAATTTCCTTGCTTTAATATTCAGTATATAATTATACCACAATGCATCTGTTTTCCTGATGATAGCCATTCAGATCATTTCTGGGTTTGCTGTCACAGGTATTTCTGTGATGAACATTTTGGTACGTCTCCTTGTGTACAAGTGTAGGAGTTTCTCCGGGCATAC